ATTGATGTGTGTATGGATTGTGATAAGAGTTGTATGAGCCCCTAATAAAATGATTTTTTTTAAAAGAATTCTTAAATATCTCCTAAATTGAAAAAGTATCTTTGGCATCACAAATCCAAAATTGCTATCATTAATCTATCCAGAAGGTCAGCAGTTGAAACCCAGCCAGCAGCTACACAGGAGAAAGGCCCTATTGGACAGCTCCACTCGGGCACATGAGGGTTGGTTTGGGTTAAAAAATTGATTTGACAGCACCCAACAATAAAATTGATGTTAATCATAAATGTCCATTTTTATAATTAACATTTTGAAACTGATCAGTGAGAGAGTGATATAAGCCTGACTTGGATGAAAAACAAAGAAAGGTGGGAGACGGAATAGTTTTATTTTCAATAGATTCAACCTCATCCACCAGCTAAATCACATCCTAAAGAAATTCTTATTCATGAAATGGGAGGGGGAACTTTTGCCAGAAGTTCTTGTGGCTGTACTTTACTGAGCAAACCCAAACCAAACTCACTGCCATTGAGTGATGCCAGCTCACAGCGACCATAGAGGCCAGGGCATGCCTGCTCCCTTGGGTTTTCAAGACTGTAACTCTTCACAGGAGTAGAAAGCTCCATCTCTCTCCCTTGCAGCGGCTGGTGGTTTGGAACTGCTGGCCTTGTCGTTACCAGCCCAATAAGTAACCAATAAGCTACCAGGACTCCTTAAGGATAAAACAGAGGGTTATAATCTCAGGAAGTCATTTTTCTGCATTCATTGGATTCTTTTTAGATTTAAAAATGTCCTCTGATCTTTTCTTTTTATGTTTTATTTTTTTAAGCACTGTCTCCTGTGGGTAAGTTTCTTATTTACGTGCTTTATATTTTCACACTGCTTATATACTCTCTATCCTGGATAGAAAATTAGACATCTAAGGTTATTTTCAAGGCCCAAACCCCAGAATCTCCCCTGACTTTAAATAATTATGTTTGAGAGATTTACATACAGGGGGTGCAGTTCATAAGAAAAAATGCCATAATCCCTGGTCATAATTCTACAGTATGAAAAGGAATCTCCTCTCTGGCTCTCAACAGAAGGAAATGAAGGGAAACTACGTCTCCCAATTCTATCCGTTCACTACTGAGAATTTAGAATTCTATTTTTAGTTATACGCGATGGCTCACAAGATCATATTAATCTGAGAAAAAAACTCGTTGAAAGTGGAATCTCATCCTAAATAATTTTACCTTTGAGAGTCCGTCTATATCGAGCACCTACTTTATATTACGCACTGTGCTAAGCACTTTCAAAGACTTTTTAAAAAACTAAGAGCTTTAGAAAGTCTCTTATTCTTATAATAGCCCTGCCTGGTAGCTAGTATTACACCCCACCTTACAGATCAGGAAGCTGGCCAGACATTTGTTCAAAGTTAATAAGTTAGTAGACATCATTATCAAGATTTCAATTGATATTTTCAGTCTCCAAAGGGCAGGTTCTTCCTGTGGAAAGACATTGCCTCCTATACTGAGCCACGACCCTTTTGGTGATTCAATTCGAAACTTTATAAATCAAATATTTATAAACCAATACACTTCTACAAGAGAAGCTGGACTATTAATGCACACGAAAGAATTCTTTTAAAGATAGAAGGATTCCTATTATATTAATGTTTGACTCTTAACTGTTTTCTAATTTCAGATGTCTCTAACTAAGACTAATGCATGGCTCTGTTCTTCGCGCAAATCATACAAAACAATATTCTTAAATCTATAAACGTATAATCCTAAGAAGTTATCCAGACTTAAATGTACTGAGACCCATTCCAAGTATCTTAAACATTTTAAACACTGGCAAACACAATGTATGTCTGTCTATTTAATCCTATTGAAGCTATTCTTTTCCTTAGTTGGCACTAGAAAGATGGTTGGGTTGGGCAGGGCGGCATGGTGAAGTTGAAAGGAAAGAATTTTATTTTGATTCATGGTATATATGAACCAGTGTGCATTCAGCACAGTAATCATGTGCCTTAAGTCCAGAAAGGGGAGCAAGCCACCACATATCCCTCAAAACATCCCTATATAGGGAAAGTGATAGGACTGTCAAATTGTTTGTTTCCTTTACAAAACGAATAAATAAATGAGTGGTGAATGAATGAGAGATAGATAGATAGATAGATAGATAGATAGATAGATAGATAGATAGATAGATAGAAGATAGAGAGTACTCCACAAACAGAGCCCAGAACCCTCCACCCTTCAGTCAGCTGATAGATAGATAGATAGATAAATGAATAAATACAAAGAGCTCCAAGAAGGGATAGCAGACCAACTCCTTTTCTGAATGCACTTTTTAAGTTTTCAGGAAAAAATAGTTTAATTTTTTTAATTTCTTATGAAAAGTATATATTTATTGATAGTTTTTAAAACATATTCTTCCCAATTAATTGCCTTTAAAGGTGCTTAGTTCAATGTTAATAGAAAGATTTAAACCAAACCAGTTCATCAATATCTTCTCAACTTGAGTTTCTTGTCTCTCACCTCCACGTTTGACTAATAAGCATATGATCTTTAAAACCGTTAACTCCTGGGAAAGGAAGGGTGAAAGGAACTTATTATTTGGTACAATACTATGCTGTGGCTTACATCTGCATTGCAAAGTTGAAATCAAGGTGATCCTCGTTTTATGAAATAGTCATATCCCTGAAAATATATACCGTGAGATGAAGACACTAAGCCGATCCAAAATATGAAGCTATTGATTGTTGTGAGTGTTGACTCATGAGGACCCCATGTGTGCAGAGTAGAATTTCGCTTCATGGGTGTAGCAGAACTACATGTGTTTTTTCAGTGTCGCTGGAAAAAGAACCATTTTATTTTAATTCTATAAAATGAAGAGAAGAGCAACTGGAGTAAACACTGATTTTTTTAAATAAGTACGAGAATGCTTTATTTTTATTAACAAAATCTATACCGTTTAAAAAGCAAGTTTAGGTTTTGAAAAACAAGTCATGCATATTTTACATCATGGTAAATATGAAACAGATTACCTACCAAGAGGCGGTCAGAGTGAGAATGTAACTTGTTAAGGGAGGCCAGCTTGCTTGAGGAGCACACGCCAGGGAACGCTGAAGGTTAGAATCGTCAGTGACACAGCACACTCTTCCTCACACCGCACCACCTGTCCCCAAACGAAGCTAACTGTTTCTATCCAAGGCACTGTCAGAGATCAAAATATGCTGTACCGTGTTTCTCAATGATTATTTTAGACTTTTAGTCTTTAAAAATATATAAATGTTTCTTTATAGAGAAAAATTTGTACTTATGTCTTAATGAAACCTCTAAAGTGGAAAACACAAAAGGGTTCAGATAAAATTGCTACAAGGTTTCTACTGTTACCAAAAGCTTAAAATACCAAAGAGAAAGGCCAGGTAAATTTGAACTACCATACCCCCTCTTGATTTATAACTCTTTTTTAACTAGTGCAGGTGTGCCTCATTTTTGCAGCTGATAAAATTCTGTAGTTACTGGTATGTCAGTTTTGCAAATATCAAATCCTAAATTTACCAGAAAGTTTTCCATGTAGAAAACACCCCAATAATAATTTTAAGCAAGAAATCTTTATTTCCAAATTATATATCAGAAACTAAGAATGAGTTGTCTCCACAACTCAGAGAAGTGTTGTGTGCATTTGTTGGCAGTAATAGCAAATAGTTAATGATTGCTTCTGTTCATGCACTCTATTGAATGCTTGACTTAAGTGATTGTATTTAACCCTCATGCCTTTGTGAAATAGTTACTATTATGACCTCCATTTTACATATGGAAATGCGAAGTTTTCCCAAGGTTACCCGACTAGTTAGGAGTAGAGCCAGGATTTGAACCACTTTGTTTCTAAAAACCATAATCTTTACATAGATATCTAAAATCCTTTAGTTAGTACTCAAAGCAGACTAAATAAGAGGAAAGTAAGTCTTGAGGATTAGCTAATTTACCCAAATAAACCCAATTAGCATAGGATACTAAACCAAGACGTTCTGATTCAGTTTCAAATTTAGTTTTCTGTCTATTGCATTAAATATTAAATAACAGGTTTCTCAGAGCAGGGCATATTTCTGCTGCACAGTAAGTACTTGGGTAATTCTCCTTGGAAGTCAAGGCATTTTAAATGTAATTCAGAGAATCAAATTACTGGAAAAAAACATAACAGAAGGAAACAAATTCACTTTTATTAAATTACACAAAAAATGAAACAGACTAGAATTGATTTACCAGCACAGAGCAAAAGGGGCTTGATAGTTGTTGCAAAGTGAGTTAGCAGACATTGTAAGGGTAAAGCTGAACTCAGGAGTCTGACTACTTGGGTTCCTATCTCAGGTCCAATGCTTACTAGTTGCATGACTATATACATGTCCATTTAAACTCAATGTGCTTCGGTTTTGTCCATCTAACATGGAGATAGCAATAGTTGTCATATTCGGTATGGTTGCTGAGAGGGTTGAATAAGCTAACATATGTAAATCGCTTAGGAAAATGAATGCCTCAAATATAGCAAGCACTCAATAAATAGCAGCTAGCACTTTTTTGTAATGAGATATGCTTTTATTCAATATGGAAAGTATATTTGAATTTCTTTTTTCTATTTTAAAAATTAATTATTCTTTCCACAATTGTTTTTCTATAATCAACTTCTATTATTCTATTCTAGTTTTCAGAACACATCGTCCTTTACCCATTAAGCATTACTAACTAGCCTTAATCTAGGAAACAAATGCCAGTTCACTCTTTCTCTCATTTATCTCCCAATTTAGTGAAAAGTGTCTGGAATTTTATCACTATTTATTTTATATGGAGAGTTCTACTTTTTTATACTTTCAAAAAATTTCAAGTTACCTTGTTTTATCAGCTTTAAGACAAACGAAAAAGAACTCAACATCAGAAAAAATAGGAATAAATTTTAAATGCTTGCTATCAGAATCATGCACTTTTTTCGTGTGCTCAGTTCTGTTTCCAGGTTACATGGATGGAGAACGTGCGAAAAAATCAGATCCCAAAGCCCAGACTCCAGATATTGGAGGCACGACAGGGGCTCAGAGTAGCCAAGAAGGAAGTAAGAAGACAATGAAATTAAAAGAAGTCACCGTGGCAGATTCTGAGGAGTTCCTGAGCTCAGGAGGCAAGAAGTATCCGGAAGGGAAAACAGAAAGCTCTGAGTTGGAAAAAGACATGATAAAAATGAAAGTCTACATAAGACAACGTGATACTGGAAGACTGAAAGAACAGGAAGCCCCAGTCGAGGAGAGTGACGCTGGCATAAGACAACCAGAAGATCAAAATGAGGGGACTGGTGCCAAAATGCCAAAAGAGGAGTCCCAAGAAAAGAAGAGAATCACCAGTATTCCAAAAAGACAAGAGTCTCAGATCAAGAAGAGCAATACTGACATCCCAAAAGAAGAGAAATCCCAAACAAAGAGGAGTGATATTGGATTAGCAAAAGGACAAGACTCTCAAGTAAAGAAGAATGATTCTGAATTACTCAAAGGAGAGATAATGAAGAGTGATATAGCAGTAGTGAAAGAACAGAAATCCCAAACAAAGAGTGATACCAGAGTAGCACAAGGAGAGAGGGCCCAAACAAAACAACAAGAATCTCAAGTAAAGGAGAATGATTCTGAACTACTCAAAAGACAGCTAAAGAAGCGTGATATTGGAGCAGAGAAAGAGCAGAAATCCCAAACAAAGAGCCATACCGGAGCAGAACAAGGAGAGAGAGCCCAAACAATGAAGAGTGATACTGGATTAACAAAAGGACAAGAATCTCAAGTAAAGGCGAGTGATACTGAAATACTCAAAGGAGAGATACAGAAGAGTGATATTGGAGCAAAGAAAGAGCAGAAATCCCAAACAAAGATCCTTACCGGAATAGCACAAGGAGAGAGGGCCCAAACAACGGAGAGTGATCCCAAAGTAGCAAAAGGACAAGAACCTCAAGTGAAGGAGAATGAAACTGGGATGCCCAAGAAGCCAGAAGCCGAAGCAAAGCAGAGTGACATCAGGGTACTGAAAGGACAAGCAACCGGAGTCAGAAAAGAGGATGCTGATGCCGGAACGCCAAAGAAAGCAGACGCTCAAGCAAAGAAGAGCGGTGCACCAGTACTGAAAGAACAGGAAGACCAAGCACAAAAAGGTCACGGAGATGAAGACGGGGAAAAGAAAGGAGATGCAAAGAGAAAAGGAAAAGCTGTCCAAACGAAAACAGGTGACGGCCGAAAAGATGTTAAAGGAAAGACGGAAGCAGTAGGGAAGGGGAAAAAAGGAGAAGCAAAGGGCAAAGGCAAGTAAAGGCAGGAAGCCCAATGAAAAGATAGAAGAGAACAGATAAATAAGACACTGATCACTGTGATTCTCATTGCCCACAGACAACCATGCCCCAGGGAGGGCCTGTAATGATGATAATTATACAATCTCTTTATGTATCTGCAGAGTTTTAGATCTTCAAATTGCCACCATTTTTAGACCTCTTCGCCTCAAATCTCAGCTTCCAAATGTTTGTGTAATAAGCTACTTACATTATTCAGTCACAAAATACTGGATTTTGAAAAATAAAACATTTTAATTAAAGAAATGCTTAGGAATGTCTTTTGACAAGGATTGTATCTCTGTGATAACCTGACCAACCAGTCAACCAACAGGTCCTAGCGTGTGGAAGCACTAACTAGCGCTAAAAAGGTAGACAGAAAGATAGAAGCCAACGTACCTGCACTGCAGTAGCTTGTAACATAAATGAAGAGGCTTCCAAAAGTTCATGGGAAATTGGAAGTGAAAAATAATGGAAATTTGCTGTGAACATTTTAAAACCTCACCATAGAGTGATTTGGTTTACATGTACCTGACAATTTTTTAACTGAATCTAGTGTCAACAGATTAGTTTAGTTAGTCAATACTGTAAGAGCTCAGAAGCATCTTCAGATGAGAAGGTAAAGGAGGTAGCCTCGTGAGGAATGGGGTGGTAGTGCACGATATGTGTTACAAAAGATGGATCAGAGGCAGATACACTCAGTGAAATAGAAAGAGTAGAAGGTGGTAAAAGGGGTTAAAGATTGCCATGCTACATTATGTGGACAGTAGGCAACTTTGTTGCAGCAGCAGGAGCATGAAAGATATTATGAAATCAAGTTGTAGAAAATGGCATTAGAAGATTCTGAAGAAGTTTGGAAAGCACACTGGGGATTTCTATTTTACTTTTGAAGCAACGAGAAGCTTCCTGGACTAGTTAAGGAGGAGCATGAACTGACTAAGGTTTATTCCCAGAGCAAAATGATCATCTTGGATTGGACAAAACAGGTTGAAGAGGAGAAAGGTCGTAAGTATGAGCACAGACAGTTGGAGAAATGATGGAATGAAAAGGAATACGAGAGATATTTTCATAGGAGACAGTTTCCAGGCGGAATGAGTATTTTGTGACAACTGGCTGCATATGAGTAAGAAAAAGAAAGAAAAATTCAGAATGCATGGTGACTCCACAATCTCTGAAGCTAGGTGGCAGAAAATAAGTAACTAGGACATTGGTTTGTGGGGTGTGGAAGGTGTGTTAGGTAGGGTTCTATAAAGAAAACCAGGACTCATAAATTATATATATATATATATATATATATATACAGCAAGAAGGACTATAACAGCTAATTAGTCCACGCAGCACTACAGAGGGCTCAGTTCAACACACTTTTGTGGAACAGCTAATATACGTGAAGTCCTTCAACTCACATGGACTGCCAGTCGAAGGTCAAGGAAGAAGACACTGGAATCTTTCCTCTAGCAAGACAGGCAGAGTCTACCCACAGGCAGCAGGATGGGTCACCAGCAATCAAGTAGCACAGGAGGGCCCGATTGGATCTTGAACTAAAGCAATGCGCAGCGACAGGAGCCTCCAGCCTCCAGGTCAAGCAATGCACCTTCAGGTCTCAAAGGAGTCTCAACTTCTAGTGAAACAATCCACGTGGCTTGGCCCACAGGTAGTGCAGCACACTAGCTCAAGCAGCAGCACGCTGGTCTGATCACCTGCGAGGACAAGAGAGATGGGATGACGGCTATCTGTATTTATTTCAGTCGTCCTCCAACCAAGCTGTGACCTGATTAAACTCCACATGTGCCTGTGGACCTAGTTGGCACAATAAACCCTACTATCACAGAAGGAATAAAAAGTTGAGTTTAAGAGGACAAACAATAATACTTGTGAGTAAGGTCTGACAGAGGTAATAATTGAAACCATGAGAATAAATGAGCTCTTCAAAGGGGAAATCACACTGGAAAAGTAGAGGTCAGAGAACTGACCTCTTGCTCTATATAATGGATTTAAGAAGAAAGTTAAATGATGAGTCAGAAGATATACGGAGAGTCTGTGCAATATAATGTTCTGATAATTAAGAAAGATGGAAGTTTCAGAAGAAAGGATGGTAAAAGGATAGCTGAGACGTCAAGGAGAAAAAAGATTAAAAGAGACCAATGTGGCTGGTAATTGGAGTTGACTGGATGACTTGCAAAACAACAGTTCTCCAATAGAAGCAGCTCAGAGAAAGAAGTTTAAAAAGGCAGAATATAGGCACATGGTTTTGTATCTATTAGATAGATGTACATTCCAAAAGACTAATGCATTCAAGATATGCTTTTTAGAGATTTTATTTTACCCTGCTTTATTCTGTATTGGTTAGCCTATGGCCTGAGTGTTCCGTTCCATAATGTGATATGAATAATAAACTAGCGTGCCTTTAGAAATGAAAACCCCCACAATGGTAAGGGACTCAACTCATTTAACATGAACAAGAAATTGAACAGTTTTACCTGGAGAAAAAAATACAAGGAGACAAGTAGAGATGCTGCAGTGGAGACTCTTAGGCATTATCTGAGCAGTTGGAATAGGCTATCTTTATCTCTCCTGCACAATCTGAGTGTAAAATTCTCTTGGCTAACTAGATGGCTTTCAAGGAAATTTGGTAAACAAACTTCAAGAAGTTTGACGTAGAAAAGGAGAGAAACCTGGTAGGGCATGATCTAGGGGAATGTAACAAGCAGGAAGTGCTGAAATCCTGGTGGGGACTGAGCATGACAGTGGGACAGGAGGAGAATCAAGGGAAATAGAGGAAAGAGCTGGGAGGAAAAGGGTATTTATAGAGGTCTAGATAAAGACATGTATATATGCAAATATATTTATATGAGGATGGGGAAATAGATCTATGAGCCTATATTTATAGGTTTAGTATTAAGGTAGCAGAAGGACATTGGGCCTCCACTCAAGTACTCCCTCAACGCAAGAATACTTTCTTCTATTAAATTGGCATTCTATGACGCTCACCTTCCCAACACAACCGCTGAAGACAAAGCGGGTGAATAAGCAAATGTGGTGAAGAAAGCTGATGGTGCCCGGCTATCAAAAAGTATAGCGTTTGGGGTCTTAAAGGCTTGAAGGTAATCAAGCGGCCATCAAGCTCAGAAGCAACAAAGCCCACATGGAAGAAGCACACCAGCCTATGCAACCACGAGGTGTAGAAGGGATCAGGTATAAGGCATCATCGGAACAAAAAATCTTACCATAGTGAATGATGGGGGGAGTACGGAGTGGAGACCCAAAGCCCATTAGTAGGCCACTGGAGATCCCCATGCAGAGGGGTCTTGGGGAGGAGATGAGCCAGTCAGGGTGCCATGTAACAACGATGAAAAATACAACTTTCCTCTAGTGCCTATATGTTTCCTCCCCGCTCCCACTACCATGACTCGAATTCGACCTTGCAAGTCTGGCTAGACCAGAGGATGTACACTGGTACAGATAGGAACTGAAAATACAGGGAATCCAGGGTGGATGAGCCCTACAGGACCAGTGGTGTGAGTGGCGAAACAGGGAGGGTAGAGGGAGAGTGGGTAGGAAAGAGGGAACTGATTACAAGGAACTATATGTGACCTCCTCCCCGGACAACAGAAAAATGGGTGAAGGGAGATGTCAGACAGGGCAAGATATGACAAAACAATTTATAGACTATCAAGGGCTCATGAGGGAGGGGGGTGGAGGGAGGGGAAAAATGAGGACCTAATGCCGGGGGCTTAAGTGGAGAGGAAATGTTTTGAGAATGATGAGGGCAATGAATGTACAAATGCGCTTTACACAATTGATGTGTGTATGGATTGTGATAAGAGTTGTATGAGCCCCTAATAAAATGATTTTTAAAAAAAAGAAAAGGAGAGAAATCCTAAGTATGAAATGTTTCACAAATGTTTCACGCTACCCAACTGCAACCTGAAAATAACAGCCCCCCAGCTTCTAGCACAATCTAGACGAGTGTTGGATCCCTACCGTGTGTTCACAGCCCTCCCACAGGTACAGAAAAACAGTTAAGTTCAAGTCAATCTTGAGGCCTTCAATTAAGCATAGATTTAGCAAGGCTAAATTGCCCAAAGCAAGAGGGTGGGGAGAGGGCAAAGAAGAGTGATTGAACATTCCATTTGTAGACTGTGAATCGCTGTGTCTCTGAAAACGTCACACTTAGAGATTCCACCAGTCTTAGTAGGTTTATTTCTTTCCCATATTCCTCTTATCCTAGGGAAATAATGTGACCAGGAGAATTCTCATATCTCAAAAGTATTCAATGATTTCATGATTTAAAAGTCGTTATGATCACCACATAATTTTTCTGTAATTCTCTCTGATCTATCTGGCAACTATCATTTAGAAGGCTAGGGCAAATTCAGGTTCTCTCAGATTTCGGCTAAAAAGCAGGAACCCTGACCAGGTAACTTCTGAAAAACAGCAGGTAGACGCCAGCAACTCCGCCAGCTAACACCTTATCTTTATACAGATCCCACTAAAGCAAGAATTCAGACACATATCCATAGAAAGCTCTTGATTCATGTCCATACCTTCTAATTTGCAGTAAAAAAAAAAAAAATTTTCACTATGAGAAGAAAGCCATACTATAAAAAACGATTAGCATGTCCTATAGCCACTGGATAGATTTCCAAACATGGACTTCCTAAGTTAAAGGAAATGTGCGTATATTTTTTAATGGTAACAGGTATCATGTAATCCTTTCATCCCAAATATGTAATAATTCACATTCCCATCAGGTCTGTATGAGAGGTCTACTTTCTGCACATATTCAATGTCAGCAGAAAAAGCACCGATCTTAGTTTTTTTCTATCTAAGGAAAAAAGCATCATCTAACTGTTGCGCTCTCTAACTGAATGTTCCTGTTGATCAGAATGAACTTGGGTGGTTTTTTGCATATTGTAGAAACATTTTATCTTCCATTTGTGTTATAAAAAAACATTTTTCTCTATTTTTCTTCATTCTTTCTCTACATCCAATTCATTAATTTGTGCCTTCAAATTATCCTG